ATATATATAGTGTTTTTTTAAAGTCTTGCTGTGTATATATACTACTATGGATAAATTATCCAATGCGCATCTCAGCTGGTTTGTAATCTGCACTACACCATCGGAACCGAATTGCAGCATGCTCGGTACAAGTCATTGTAGTATCTCCAGAAATACTGCAAACAATTAAGCACGTAATGATATCACCAGAAATAATGCCAAGAATTAAGCACGTGATTTGGTTGTAAATCGGGTGCCTAAGTAGTAGACCGCATATTCCCGAGTCAGGGCTGTCAATATACATACTATACTTCGATAAACCAAAGAGTCCACGATTCTATCGAAGTACTAAGCAAGCTAAGACTGGGCTGGTCTCGTCTTCCAGAATTGTATTTCTCGTACTCGCCTAATAGCACACCAACCGTTGTAGAATACGATGCCACGATAGCTGAGGCAGCTGATGTCGTTTCTTAACATCGTTAGCTGTCAATCTTTATTGTTTGACATACTTCACAAGTATGGTTGGTATCACTAACAATTGTTCTCTAGAGTATGTGCTCTCCTATAATAATATCACGGTCTCAGCCAATACAGTTTCGCTGCTATGGGCTTTGCAGTCACAGAGTAGAAAATATACCGCCAATTGCTGCCATTATATTATATCTAAATCTCTTCGGAGCAACAACAAACTATCACTGACAAACACCTTTTTGTACTAAATTAAAGTCGTTCTTAAGTATCTACGTCAATTGACAATTGACTTGAAGCACTTGCAAATCATCTTTTCTCCACACCGCTTCCAGTGTGATGTAATTGCACGCTCATTAGACTCGTGACAAGAACCCACTGCCGCAGGACGTATTTCTTAGACTAATGACAGATTTCCTGGAAGCTCTTGTTGATAGCATCCTGGTCCATAAACCGACCTGATTTCCATTTTCCAAATTCCAATTTGCGCGTGGCGATTGTAAATTATAAAATTAGTATGTACCTGAAATGTTCTATGAGGTTTCAAATATTCTAACCGCGTCTGAGGCTAACTCATGACCGAATAGAAGTGCAGAAACAGGCGGGACTACTTATAATTTCATTTTTGAGCATCGAGTGCCGAGCGCAGTGAGCTGGGAGTGGATAAGGTTTCGCTCGCTGTCGAATCACTCGTATATAGAATAGACGATTGCAATGGACCCTGTGTACGAGATAGGCATACGTACGAAATATCACGATCTACAGCACAGTGAACGCTGAGTCGCACAGAACATCGACCGGCTATTGCTTGTTTTTATGGCTACTACTACTTACCGATTAGCAAGATTCGGTTATTGCGCTTCTCACCCTCTTCCCAAGGAGTTGTATAGAATATGTCTGAAATTTAAATTGTGGAGCATTTAGCACTTGCAAGGACGACACTATAAAGCTGCCACGGTCAATTCCATACACAATGAAGCCTACCAACTCGCATATCTTGTACAGTCACTGATCCATACAGTCACAGATCCACACAGCCACAGATCCATACCGAACATTTCTTGAACGGCTTGTATTACCACACGCTCTTTCCTGTCTTTAAAGGATACGACTCCTTTTAATCGCAAAATTTGTTTGATGTCACTCTCTCCCTGTAAAAAAAATTAGATCCGAGCAACAACAAAAATTTCAGTCAAAGCTCGGAAGCGCAATAAAGCGCCCAACTATACTGGTGCTGGTGCATTGCAATGGTGAATAATTTGGCTACAACGTCACTGATATATACTACAGATTATGAGATGGGTATTTGTGAGTACAAATTGGCATCCTGTGTATTAAAACAGAGAGAACACCTTTCATAGACCCACCTCATCGTCCATTAGCGTATGAGCTAGCCACCGGGTAAGCACCTCCTCTGAGACGACGTGGCCTTCTGCTTCCACTAGAACCGTACGAATTGTCTGTGCTCAGTGAGTTAAAATATACGCGGAACGGGAATTGAAGGCTGTGTGGTATCTTTATTAATTTAATCAGCTTCTGGATAATTCTAAACGGTCCCCTTATAAGTGCACGTGAGACTTGTGATAATAAACGAACACCCGACCTCAAATCTCTAAAATTATAGGACTTTTCGATTGGGCGGAGATGTGTAATATGTATCTCAGCGAAAGTTTTGGAGGCAAGATAGACAGTACTAGAAACACAGCACTTTTGCAACTTCGCGGTCAATGTTTCAATTGGAGAGTAAAATCAATCATGCAAGCTCTCATATATGTAGATCAAATTTCATTACAAATTCTAGTTAAAGCACTAAAGCCAACTATGCCCAAAAAAAATTGTATCATATTAGTAATGGGAACAATCAACACCGCCAATACAGCCCTAGCGGCTACCTATCACAGACTACAGCTCTCGTTAACCTACCGTATCAGCTACATGTTTGTAGTCCGCATACATCTCTTGGGCAAAATTGCTGGTATCTATAGCATCGTACGCGCGGAGGTCTAGTATGAAATCCAATTCCACCCTGCACAATTCAGAACCCAAAAAAACCAGTTAGTGCCAACCTTGGCGCGGATGTGAGGTCAGTCAACCCCTGGTGAAAATATACCAGAAACGGTTGCGAATATAGAGGAGATATCCTATGCTATATCACATACAACCCCACGTCTAAGGGTTTAGAGTAACATCAATAACTCGCATAGTCGGTAGCGTGCGGGCAGCTTGGAAACCGAATCAAGGGTCCGCCGGCACCAACATATTCTGCGTTAAATGAGCAGGAATGACTGAGAAGGAGTGCGACTCTGACCAGACAAGACCAACTTAATTTGTGTTACATACTTCGCTCGTTTTGCCCGAGTAAGGGTAGCTGTTGCATTGATTGACTTGATTGTCTTCTCTAGGGATGCAACCTCATCATCACCAATTAGATCACACTTATTCATTATGATCCTATCGGCAAGCGCGATTTGCCTTTCACATTCGGTGGTATTTCCTTCATTCGCAGCTTTTGATTTTACCTAGAGGGGGGGGCCACAGGCACGACATACATCTGTTTTTAATAAGCTCCAGTCCACAAACATAGTACGAATGTGCAGATGTAGCCAACCAGCTTATAGCCAGGCAAATATTCCGGATCAGACAGGACTCGCCAGTCAGATGATGACAGGGCCATCCCACCATGTCATCAGTAGGGCAAAGCACAAAATGAACATACCTCTCCTTTGGCCACTTCTCCTTGCAGGTACTTCAAGCAATGTTTACTATCTATGACAGTCACCACACCATCTAGGAAAAGTTCAGCACCAAGCTCAGAATCCAACCAAAACATGCTAGCGATGGGGCCGGGATCCGCCAATCCGGTGGTCTCTAACAAAATGTAGTCAAACTTTCCCTTTTTGAGCATCAGGTTTTCAATGGCTTTAACACCATTGTCTCTGAGTTGAGAAAGGACAAAAGAAGCATCGAGCTGAGATCAATAACAGGTTGAGTGGGATGGGTGAACATAGGCCGCACCACACTCGGCACGTGGCAAAAAGAACAATCTCTACGCAGCAGGGTTGCAATCAAGAAACTAAATTGATCTCATCTAGCAGGCGGAGGAAGGCGCCACTAAGGCGCAAACAAATGATTAAAAGGCCAACACCAGTACAAAAATCGACCTACTTCACCGAGCAACACAGACAGCCGTTGCGAAGCTCGAGCCATTCTTCGTAGAGCTCCCCATCCTTGCCGACCTGCAACAACAATGAATAGCGTATCAGGAGTGTATAGTCTATTTGCGCTACAGCAACGACAGAATGGGAACTCGGTTGTGAAAACTGAATCTTATGGAAATTCACATACAGATCGGCTTGATGGAGATGAGGCCGAGAATTCCCCACATGGATACTTTCTGAGCACCCCTGGTGTCTACTTACCTGCATACTTTGCTCCATCGACTCACTGGCGCCAAACTCATTCAGAATAACAGCTATGCGCTTGTCGTGCTGCTCTGTGAGAATGTAGTTCAGCAATGTAGACTTTCCTGCCCCGAGATATCCAGTGATAATTGTCACAGGAATTTTCGTCCCTGGTTGTGCTGTATTCGAATTCATGTAAAATGTAAATAGCCTTGAGTTAGATAGAATTTATCTGCCCGAGCAGAATTGTAGTAGAATGAAGAGTGTAGTGCTATCAAGCATGAAGGCAATGGGCATAAGATTGATGTGCATCCACAAGTATACATTTTGGAACATATATACATCATCTACAAGTGAACATATATTTGGACGTGCAGGAGTTCATATATATATGTGTGTGTGTGTGTGTGTGTGTGTGTGTGTGTGTGTGTGTGTGTGTGTGTGTGTGTGTGTGTGTGTGTGTGTGTGTGTGTGTGTGTGTGTGTGTGTGTGTGT